CCAATGTTATATATCAAGCCCATATATGCACATGGGTAACATTTTAAAATTAGTTTTCCTCCCCTGGAAGCCACCCCATCAGCGCCCACTCCGCTTGGCATGTGAGGGAGTGCCCACTGGGAACGAGGGCCTGAAGAGCAGCAGCTGTAACATCAACCATCCCATCTTCCAAGAGGACACCAAGGTGAGTGCCTCCCCCCAGATCCTCATCACTCTCCACCCTTGTCCTGACCCATTTCTTTCCCTTACTCCTCCATGACCTTCCTTATTCCCATTCCTTCTTTCTTCTTCTCTCAGGGCACCTTCATAGTCACATTTGATGTCTCCTACAAGGCCACCCTGGGCAACAAGTTGCTTCTGAAGGCCAATGCAAGCAGGTGAGGCGAGGTGTATCCCTCACTCTTTCATCTCATGCCCCAGCCAGAGATTTCTCTCCTGGATTCCTTCCCAATGAGGCTCCCCTCCCTCTCTCTCTCTCTCTCTCTCTAGTGAGAATAATAAGCCTACAACCAACAAGACCACCTTTCATCTGGAGCTCCCAGTGAGATATGCTGTCTACATGGTGATCAGCAGGTCTGAACCTTTGACTCTTCTATAATCCTAGTACCTCCCCTTGAAGCCCAGGATCTTTGAAGGATAGGTATCTGAACTAGCCCTCTAATTCCTCACATGGGAATACTTGTGCCCAGTCATATATTTATGCCATAATAACATACACGATATACTTCTTGCTTCTTCTCTGATGAACTGACCTACTGGTGGGACACACACACTTTGCCACCACTCTGCACTCCTCCCTCTCTCTCCAAGGTGCAGGCCTCCTTAAACATGAAGCCAATTCTATTCTTCATTCAAATATGAGTGTGTTGAAGTGAAACTAACTAGATTAAGATTGAGGCTTTTATGAGCTCTCTGAGCTCTCTGTGTGGTTTGTCACCACACAGAGGAAAGAAAAGGTCAAGGTTTCACAAAACAAAGAGGAGGCCAGAGATGTGACAAACTGCTGGGAAAGTCTCTACGAGTCCAAGGCTGTGGCAGGCCACAGGAAAGTCAAGTGCAGGGCTGTTGCTCTCAGTTCGGAAGGTGGGTGGTGGAGCAGGGGCAGGCCAGGCTGGAAGCAGGGCAAGGAGACCCACATAACCTGGCCAAACTCCAGAGGTGTAGGGAGGTGGTCAAAAACTTATAATATTGCCATGGGACAGAGTTTGCTACTGTTGTTGCTGCTGATGACACATGAATTTTTAGGAGAACTAGGGAGGGAGGATCAAACAGTGTCATTGCCCTTCCAAACTCCATGTATGAATTTCCCCTACTGTCCATGGGAAAATAGTGGAACTTATATTAAGAGCTTACAGTTATATATACTTATGATATGCCAGGCATTTAAAAAGTACTTTACGTGTATTTACATTCATTTAATCCTTCTAAAAACTCTGTGATTTAGTTATTGTTAAACCCCCTTTTCTACCAACAAAGAAATCAAGAGGTTGTTCCTGTCAGTCAGCTGCTAAGTGGCAGAACCAGGACTCAAAGTCAGATGGTCTGGCTCTAGAGGTTGTGCTCATGCCCATACACTGCTATGCCATTCCAAGGATTGGGGAAGCTGAGTGATTTACTCAAATTTGAAAAGAGAGTTAGAACTGGAAGATTTTAAGGTGAGAAAACTGAAGCATAGAAAGGGTTGGAGTGAGGAACATAAAGGCTAGCACAGTAAGGGAAAAAAAATAAATTCTAACATTTATATCATTGCTGCAGACTTCATCACAACTCTGTCACAGGCATGATTATTAGCATCCTCATTTTATACAGGAAGAATCCACAGAGGTTAAGTAACTTACCTTAAGTTACTTGGGTAAAAAGTGGTAGACTGAAATGTGAACCCAGATGGTCTGGCTCCAAGCCTGTGTTGTTAATCATCACACTGACAGTCACATCTGTGGGAAACTGTGGGGGGCCCATGGAGTTTCTGTATGGCTGCCCTGGCTTCTGTACACTAGGTGCTGGTGAAATGTGCAGCACCCCTGCTTGTTTGCTTGATTCCACTGAGACCTTAGATGTTAACTCTGGGAAGGCAGGGATTATGGTTTGGTAACTGTTGAATCCCCGGAGCCAAGCACACAGCCAGGTATAGGGTAAATGCTTACTGAAGGAGGCAATGCATAGATGGATGGATGGATGGGTGGATGGATGGAAAGCCACCTGAAGCCTGGTGAACATTTATGTCCACTCCAGGGGCTTGTGTTCATGCACCATCCTTCCTCACATTTACTTAACTGCCCCAGGATAGCCACATCTCTTTTCTTCACTCCATCATAGAGGGGCTTGCACTGCATTTTTTCCCTGGTGATCCAACCATGATTTCCTCGAATCCCTTTAGGCTTATTTGTTCTGGCAACAGCCTCTGCAAGCATTGCTGGAGGCCAACAATATACCTAGTAAAGGAGAAAGCCGTGTGAACACCTTTTTCCCATGGGAAAATGTTTAAATGTTATGAGAGGTAACGTTTAATTTGCGCCTTTAAGTAAAAATTTCCAAAAGGGGAATGGTAAGGATGTTCCAAGCAAAAGAAAGAACTTGAACAAAGCTATGGGGATGTGAAAGAGCCAGGGTATCCAAGGACACGCTAGCAGTTCTGGGTGACTGGGGCAAATGTTATAGAGAGGAGCTGAAGCTGAGGCTGCAGAAGCATGTGGGGATCATAACTATTTCATGGGATCATCTGCCAGGAGGCCCAATAGAGCCCTTAGCAGCAGACCGGGACACAACTGAGGATGGCTCCAGGGCTGTTTCTCACCAACAAGCCCTCTCTCTCCAGGAAGGAAGAGTCTACCAAGTACTTCAACTTTTCAACTTCTGATAAGAAGAGCAAGAAAGAAGCTGAGCATCGTTATCGTGTGAGAAGCCAGGGAGCATCCATATCTTCCCTCCCATGGTGCTGCTAATGTTGGGAGCTGGTGGGAGAGAGAAAGAGGAGCTGAGGGCTAGATCCAGGAAAGAAGTAGGATTTGGGATGCTCCCAGGACCACAATAATGTTCTGTCTCAATTTTCTGCAGGTGAATAACCTGAGTCAGCGAGATGTGGCCATCAGCATCAATTTCTGGGTTCCTATCCTGCTGAATGGTGTGGCTGTGTGGGATGTGGCTGTAGTGGCCCCTTCACAGGTATCTGCTTGCCTTTCTAACTCTCCAGAGTCTGATCCTACAGTGCCTCACACCCTCTTACCAGTGAAATGTTGATCATTCTGTGGCTATTTCTCTCTCTCACTAGAGTCTCCCCTGTGTGTCAGAGAGGGAACCTCCCCAGCATCCTGGCTTCCTGACCCAGATTCCAGGGAGTCTTGTACTGGTGAGAAAGACCCTGGATTCCCATTGCAGGACCAGCTGCCTATTGGGGGATATAGGGAAATGCACTTGCTAGGTTGGAGATCTATATATATGACCTATAATTGCTCATCTATTCCCCACCCCAAACCTGATGGACTTCATTTTCTCCTGTGGTTCTTGCCTAAGTTAAGACCCTCCTCAACTTCATTCCTCCCCTGTCCCTAGAACTGCTCCATTGCTGACTGCCTGAGGTTCCGCTGTGACCTCCCCTCCTTTGGCATCCAGGAGGAACTTGACTTCATCCTGAAGGGCAAACTCAACTTTGGCTGGGTCAGCCAGGTGTGTAGGCCCAACAGCAGAGTCCCTCCCCTGGATTTGGGTGGTACCAGATGTGTCTGTGCCCATCCTCAAGCCAGGAGATTTCTCAAACTCTGAGCCTCTTCCTAGGGTATTTCCCCAGCTCTGTCCCTGTGTATTTCAGACATTGCAGAAGAAGGTATTGGTGATGACTGTGGCTGAAATCACATTCAATAGATCCGTGTATTCCCAGCTTCCAGGACAGGAGGCATTCTTGAGAGCTCAGGTAGGGACTATGTGGTAGGAGTGGCCAGGCTGGTAAGAGGGATCCTAATGCTAAATCTTTGGTGCTGTGTGGGAGGCTCAGAAGCCTAGAGGAAGGCAGGATGAAGGCCCCTCAGCAGGAGAGTTGTCCCTAAGTCCATAAGTGTTTCTGTATCTCACCCCTTGAGCAAAGGAAGGAGGGGAGGCCCTTAAAGGTTGGGGAACCTGGGAAGAGTCTGGAACAACAAGGAGTCTGATACTTTCTCATGCACAAATCAGACGGCGATGGTGCTTGAAGCGTATGAGGTCTATGATCCTATTCCCCTCATCGTGGGAAGCTCTGTGGGAGGACTGCTGCTCTTGGCTCTCATCACAGCCATCCTATACAAGGTGAGTGTCTTCATCCCACTCTCAACACTACCAGTATCTAACCCAAGCCCTTCCAGAGACAGGATGGTATAGTGGGAAGAACTCAGACAATGGAATCAGACAGGCCTGTGTGTACATTTTGGCTCTATTCTGCTCACTCTTTAATGTTGGGCAAATTACTCAACTTCTCTGAGCTTGTCTCCTCATTTTTGAAATGACAGTAATGCCTACATTACAGAGTAGCTGAAGTGAGACAGACATGAAACCAGGCTATGTGTGTAGGCCTGCCTATGAATTTATGCTTTTCTACTATAGCTTTTATGCATAACTGCTGTGCTTGCACACAGTAGATAATACATGATAGCTGTAATTCATATAAGTGTTCTGGCACACAAATATGAGTCAGCTTATTTCTCTTCTCGTCTTCTCTCTCAGCTTCTTCCTACTCCCAACTCTCTTCCCTGCCCTCTTACCCAGCTCTTCTGATTTACTTCCCTTCACAGCTTGGCTTCTTCCAACGTCAGTACAAAGAAATGCTGGACAACAAACCTGAAGACACTGCCACATTCAGTCAGGAGGATGTCAGCTGTGAGGCCCCAAATTTGCCTTTGTCCTAATAATTCACTTTTCTGTTTGTCTCTACCTCCATGGACTGGTCTTGCCTTTGCCTACAAATCTACTTCCATGGGAAAAATTTCTGTATAGCTCTGGACTGGTCTGAGCAACTTATCAAGTGCTAAGCCAACTTCTCAAGGCATTGAAAGGTTTTTATATTTTAACATATTTGTCAGTTCTTCAGTAATGACTCACTTTTTACAGAAGCAAACATGAAGCCAGCATGAATTTTCATATATATAAAGAATTGCCACATTAAATGAGGATGTTTATAACACATTCTTCTTGTATGAAAGAGCTCTAATTCAGGGACCTGAGTCCTGTTCTAGGAAGAGTTGGGGGAACCTGCTTGTGGGCCTAGAAAACATTCTCTCGCTTTTTCAGGTGACTGAGGCTGATAATCTTTTCTTAATGGTGCTATGAATAATATTAGGGGAGAAGCCAAAGGAAGAACTCTAGTGTGTGTTGCTCATGGGGCTCAGCACAGGCTTCAGGCTCCTTGGTAATGGCAAATGAGCAGAATGTCCTAGGAGGGGAATGAAATGTCCTGAACATGTTTGAACCAATATCCCCCTTGAATGAGGTCCCCAAAGATTGGGAGAGCCAAGCTTCCAAAAAGGAGCATCTGATTTCCCAGACAATACAGAAGACCCATTAAATGTGGTCATAGAGAATGGCTGAAATATTCCAAATCCAAAATTAGGTCATGAAGCCTCACACATAGGGCTGTAGGTCCTCTGTTTGAAATCAAGGTTGTCTCCAGAAAACCAGAATTCACAAATATTGTCAGTGTGTCAGGCAAAAAGTTGTCTGCAGCCCTGAGTTCCCAGGGGACTTCTGAGGAGGGCCTCATTTAAGTCATTTAATCTCTGAGAATCTCAATTCCTCCTCTAGAGAATGGGAACTAAAATTATATCTTGCTCCCAGAGATACTGTGAGGATTCAGTGTTATGTGAAAGACCTTTACAGCCTAGAGCCCTAATTATTAATAGGTGAGGGAAAAGGAGTAGGGATGAAGATCTCCTACCTAGTCATCAAGGACATTCCCTCGAGCACCTCCCATATCATGGCCTTGGGAAGAGCAAGCAGAGCACAGACTGCACTGTGTGCCTGCGCCCAGTAGAGCTCTTCGGTCCCCACCCCACCCCCACGGTCCCCAGGGAGGCTGTGGACACACAGCTTCCACACCTTTATTGCACCTGGTGGCATCTGCCTGGGCCTCAGGGCTGTTCATAGCCAGTGGGCAGAGGGTTGACATGGGGATTGTGGAAAAGGGTGTGGTTACCGTCTCCCCAGGAGTAGGGCTGTGAAGAAAGGGAGAGAGGATTGTCAGCGTGGTCTGGGCCTGGGGGTTCCAAGCCCCCCCTCCCACAACCTTTGCCCTTCTGATCCTCACTCCCGCCCTGGGGGCAGAGGCCTCAGGCCAACGTACCTTGGTGCGGATACGGAGGTGGTGATAGGGGATAAACTTGGGGCGTTCACGGTGGCTCGCGTGGAGCCAGGAGTTGAGGGTGCAGAGGGCCACGCTGGGCAGCGCCAGCACGAAGGTCAGGAGGCGCCAGGTGCTGGCTGCAGAAGGAGGGGATAAGCAGAGATGAAAGAGAAGTGGGGAGGCCAGGGCCTCTGAAGGTCAGAGTGGGAGGGTTGGTCAGTGGGGGTGTTGTCAGACCCTGGGAGGCCACACAGGCAGGAGAGGGGTACAGGTAGGCAAGCCACAGGGTCAGGTCCCAGCCCCACTCACCTCCTGCCCCTCCATGGTCTCTCTTTGCTGCACTTGCCAAGCCCCGACTCAAGGACTTCAGAGGCAGAGCCATTGCGGTGGGTGAGAGAAGCTGGAAACTGCACTGTCCTTTCGCTCTCCTTCACCGAGGCCTAGATTCTCCTCCCCTCTTTTTGGGCCAATCACCTGTTGAGTCTGTAACATGGGTGGCTATTTTTAGGGGTTTTCTATATTTAAAATGAGGCCTTACTGCCATGAGGTCCTTCTTTCTGGACAGCTGCTATTTGGTACCTCTTATTTTGGTAAGGGACACTTAAAAAAACCAATGTGCCATTCTTTTTATAGTTTCAGGGAACTATTTCCTTCAATACTCTAGTCCCAGTGGCTGGCACACAGTAGGTCTTTAATAACTATTTGTAGAATGAATTAAGTGTCCTTTTGAATCTCAGTTTTTTCATCTGTACAATGTATAATAATTTATACCTTAAATGGGTAGTTTATTAAATTTAAGTAAAATAAGAGGAATATGCCAGCTTAGTGTCTGGCATGAAACAGTAGCTCAGTATATGTATTAGTTACAGTTCTTTGCAAAGAACATAACTCACTCTAATTGGTTTTAAAAAGATAAGCAATTCAAAATCAGGTAGCTCAAAGTGTCTCTCGTATGGCCAGAGAAGCCAATAATCTGTGCAGCCAGAAGCAAGCTAATCTATGGGCCAGCTGCCATGAGACACCACCGCAATTTGCACTGCTGGACTCCAGATACCAAAAACTTCACCCATGCTGCTCTGGAAAGCCAGATTCTTCTACCCTAACATCCTTCTTCATGAAGCTTGCATCCTTGAGTTGATGTTTTCTGAATCAGAGAATCATGTGTGCCCCAGTTGACAATAGCTAGGTCATTGTCTATGCTCTAGCTTCAAGAAAGGCTGGGAAATTGAGTTCTGCCTTCTACATTAAGGAGGCAGGAATTCTATCTTGGGGAAAATCCCCAAGTATAAGAAAAGCATTCAAAAGATACTGGGTAGCCACAGACTTGACAAGTGTCTACTGCTAAGTATATTATTCAATCTGAAAAATCTGACTACTTGGAGGAAAAAGAAGAAAGCCTAGGGAGACCTGTATAAGCCCTTTATCAAAGTAGGTCACTAGAAAGCTACAAGATAGTGCAGGGCTAATTCCTGGCCTGGTGCACTGTTCTGCCCTCTGCACTAGCACAGAACCTGGCATGAAATAGTTGTTCTAAAAATATGTTTTTATTGAATGCTTCAACCATGTTACATTAGTTAACCCTATATAAATGCCTTTGCAGAACCATAATCCAACAGGATGCCTCCATCTTTGATCAGGACTGATTTAACTAATATGAATTTAATATATAAAAGAAAAATGAATTTTTGTACTTAATCTGAATATATAAAAGAAAAATGAAAAAGGTACATTTTTAGGAAGGGGCTGCTCCATAACTATTCCTCCTGTTGGTTTGAAACTGAACACTAGCTTCTACTTAACTTTCTGATGCTTTTTTTAAAGTAACCTTGTTGAACAGTCAAATGTTATATAATGCTTCTAAATTATTCCAGAGCCCTCACTGAGCTATAATGGAATTCTTCCTATGATTGATATTTCCCAGTTGGGGTTTGGACTTGCTGCTAAGAAGATGGGCCTTATTCCAGTTAAAGGTACATGGCATCTCCCTCCACATACAGTCCCCTCAGCTTATGATTACAGCTTTTGGAGAAAGCAAATGACCAAGGGTGTTTTTACTTGAAAACATTCTAAAGGACCCAAATAAATGAAATCATGAATGAAAGAGGAGGGATCACAACCAACACCAAAGAAACACAAACAATTATAAGAACACATTATGAGCAACTACATGCCAGCAAATTAGACAATCTGGAAGAAATGGATGCATTCTTAGAGATGTATAAACTACTAAAACTGAACCAGGAAGAAATAGAAAACCTGAACAGACCCATAACCACAAACGAAATTGAAGTAGTGATCAAAAATCTCCCAACAAACAAGAGTCCAGGGCCAGATGGCTTCCCAGGGAAATTCTACCAAACATTTAAAGAAGAATTAATGCCTATTCTTCTGAAATTGTTCCAAAAAATAGAAATGGAAGGAAAACTTCCAAACCCATTCTATGAAACCAGCATTTCCTTGATCCCAAAACCAGACAAAGACCCCATCAAAAGGAGAATTACAGACTAATATCCCTGATGAACATGGATGCAAAAATTCTCACCAAAATACTAGCCAACAGGATCCAACAGTACATTAAAAGGATTAATCACCACAAACAAGTGGGATTTATACCTGGGCTGCAAAGTTGGTTTAACATCTACAAATCAATCAATGTGATAGAATACATTAATAAAAGAAAGAACAAGAACTCTATGATCCTCTCAATAGATGCAGAAAAAGCATTTGACAAAGTACAGCATAGTTTCTTGGGATGGGACTACTCTTCACAGTGTAGGGATAGAGGGTACATACCTCAATATCATAAAAGCCATCTATGAAAAACCCACAGTGAATATCATTTTCAATGGGGAAAAAATGAGAGATTTTCCCCTAAGGTCAGGAAGATGGCAGGGATGTCCACTATCACCACTGCTATCCAATATAGTACTAGAAGCCCTAGCCACAGCAATCAGACAACAAAAAGAAATGAAAGGCATCTGAATTGGCAAAGAAGAAGTCAAACTCTCACTCTCTGCAGATGATATGATACTTTATGTGGAAAACCCAAAAGACTCCACCCCAAAACTGCTAGAACTCATACAGGAATTCAGTCAAGTGGCAGGATATAAAATTAATGCACATAAATCAGTTGCATTTCTATACACCAACAAGACAGAAGAAAGAGAAATTAAGGAGTTAATCCCACTTACAATTGCACCCAAAACCATAGATACCTAGGAATAAATCTAACCAAAGAGGCAAAGAATCTGTACTTAGAAAACTATAGAATACTCATGAAAGAAATTGAGGGAGACACAAAGAAATGGAAAAACTTTCCATGCTCATGGAGTAGAAGAAAAAATATTGTGAAAATGTCTATGCTACCTAGAGCAATCTACACATTTAAGGCAATCCCTATCAAAACACCATCCACTTTTTTCAAAGAAATGGAACAAATAATCGAAAAACATTCCATGCTCATGGATTAGAAGAACAAATATTGTGAAAATGTCTATGCTACCTAGAGCAATCTACATATTTAATGCAATCCTTATCAAAATGCCATCAACTCCTTTCAAAGAAATGGAACAAATAATCCTAAAATATGTATGGAACCAGAAAAGGCCCCAAATAGCCAGAGAAATGTTGAAAAAGAAAACCAAAGCTGGAAGCATCACAACTCTGGACTTCAAGCTCTATTACAAAGCTATAATCATCAAGACAGTATGGTACTGGCACGAAAACAGACACACTGTTCAATGGAACAGAATAGAGAGTCCAGAAATGGACCCTCAACTCTATGGTCAACTAATCTTTGACAAAGCAGGAAAGAATGTCCAATGGAAAAAAGACAGTCTCTTCAACAAATGGTGTTGGCAAAATTGGAGAGCCACATGCAGAAGAATGAAACTGGACCATTTCCTTACACCACACACAAAAATAGACTCAAAATGGATGAAAGACCTAAATGTGAGACAGGAGTCCATCAAAATCCTTGAGGAGAACACAGGCAGCAACCTCTTTGACCTCAGCCACAGCAACTTCTTCCTAGAAACATCACCAAAGGCAAGGGAAGCAAGGGCAAAAATGAACTATTGGGACTTCATCAAGATAAAAAGCTTTTGCACAGCAAAGAAACAGTCAACAAAACCAAAAGACAACCGACAGAATGGGAGAAGATATTTGCAAATGACATATCAGATAATGAGCTAGTATCCAAAATTTATAAAGAACTTATCAAACTCAACACCCAAAGAACCAAGAATCCAATCAAGAAATGGGCAGAAGACATGAACAGACATTTCTGCAAAGAAGACATCCAAATGGCCAACAGACATGAAAAAGTGCTCAACATCACTTGGCATCAGGGAGCTACAAATGAAAACTACATTGAGATATCACCTCACACCAATCAGAATGGCTAAAATTAACAAGTCAGGAAACGACAGATGTTGGCAGGGATGCAGAGAAAGGGGAACCCTCCTACACTGTTAGTGGGAATGCAAGCTGGTGCAGCCACTCTTGAAAGCAGTATGGAGGTTCCTCAAAAATTGAAAATAGAGCTACCTTATGACCCAGCGATTTCACTGCTGGGCATTTGCCCCAAAGATACAAATGTAGTGATCTGAAGGGGCACGTGCACCCCAATGTTTATAGCAGCCATGTCCACAATAGCCAAACTATGGAAAGAGTCTAGAGGTCCACCAACAGCTGAATGCATAAAGAAGATGTGGTATATATATACAATGGAATATTATGCAGCCATAAAAAATGAAATCTTGCCATTTGCAATGATGTGGATGGAACTAGAGGGTATTATGCTGAGCGAAATAAGTCAATCAGAGAAAGACAATTATCATATCTCACTGATATGAGGAATTTGAGAAACAAGACAGAGGATCATAGGGGAAGGGAGGGAAAAAATGAAACAAGATGAAACCAGAGACAGAGACAAACCATAAGAGATTCTTAATCTCAGGAAACAAACTGAGGGTTGCTGAAGTGGAGGGGGGGTGGGGGGGAAGAATGGGGTGGCTGGGTGATGGACATTGGGGAGGGTATGTGCTTTGGTGAGTACTGTGAATTGTGTAAGACTGATGAATCACAGACCTGTACCCCTGAAACAAATAATACATTATATGTAAAAAAAAAGAAAACACTCTAGGCTCTCCTCCTTCCACTCAGAGTTTTGTTGGCCATTGCCAAACAACTGCCTGGGCCTTCACATCCCTTTGTCTCAGCTTGGACGTTTCCATGAAGAATTTTTCTTGCTGGGACTTGGTGAATGCCCTGAGAGATGCTGCCATCCCTCCCATGTGGTGCTACTGTTGCTCCCATGTGGTGCACCTGCCCAGTACTCAGCCTTCTATTTAGGTAGTCTGCACTTTCCTAGCTGATCTGTGTAGAGGCAGTGTAGAGCAGGTCCTTCAGTCTTTGTATCCACCATAATTTCTTAAGGTCT